ACGATGGGGGTCAGGGCTACAGGTCGCCAGTCGTTTAATGAGGAGATGGTGAAGGATTTGGGTAATGGCAGAAGCACAGTTCAAAAAAAGTGGGAAAAGTATGTGGTACTAAACAAAACAGCTGGAGGAACAGCTGGAGACTAACTGGGTTTATTGGTAGCAGCGCAGTAACATGAATAGTTCTAAAACAAACAGATTAGGAGGGCGGAGGCTCACCGAGTTCACAAACTGAGTCTAAAAATTACAGAAAATTTTTGCTCTAGTATCCCTCATTTATTTATCATCAGTTATCATACATAACATCATCTAAAAAAAGAATCTCTCTGTGTGCAAGGGGGCAGGGTTGAAAAGTTGGGTGCCCTTGATCTTTAGACTCTCAGACAGCACTGCAGTAATAACTGGCATGTGATCAGTCCCCGAACTCACTGTCTGTGAATACATTTAGCTATCCACACATACTAGTTCCTGCCTCATCTTCTCTGTGCCAAACCTCATTCAAAAGAGACTCGATTTCTATAACTGCTTTGATTCTGATTCACAAGGTCCCGATTTGATTTGACTCAGACAGTCAGAAATGTTATAATTTTGATCAGTTATCAGGACATATCCATGTTTTTATAATTAGCCTATGTATAAAAACAAAGCTGACACTAGCTGTTTGGTGGTTGTTGAAATAGTTTTGGGAGCAATTTCTAAAACTAAAATCGATTTGAATCAGGAAAATCGATTCTTTAAACCCACAACTACTTTTAACCAGTTTATAACACACGTGAAACAAAAAATCCAACACCCAGGACACCCGTTGAACAGCTAGGGTCTGGGATAGACTGAAAAACTCTCCAAAGAGAGGTGCCATCGTTTGGCATTGGTCAGGCCATGTGGATCCCAGCATTGCAGACTGTTATTTCGGATGTAGAACGGAAAAACATTCCTCTCCCAAAAGTTCAGCAACTGGTCTCCTCAGTTACCAGACTTTTACAGACTGTAGTTAAAAGAAGAGGGGATGCTACATAGCGATAAATACAGCCCTGTCCTGTATTGTGTTGCAGCCATCAAACTCAAAATGAAATAACAATTTTCTTAAAATGGTGCATTTTCACATTTGATATTTTCTATTATGAATAAAATGTGGTTTTGTGACATTTGCAAATCTTTGCATTCTGTTTTTATTTAGATTTTATGGAACTGGGTATAAAGTTTACCAAAGTTATGAGGTTTCACATTTATATCTGCTCCCTTTGAGTTTCTTCATTTTTAATTCGGTGTCAATATGTTTGCATCCAAAACAGGAACGCAGACAGTCCGTGTTGGAAAGATTGAACTGGAGTCAGTAGTGCCAAACTCTCAACCTGAGTCATTGATCAATGTTAGAGGTCAGTAACTGTCAGAGTGGTGAGAAGGATCAAAAATGAAACCAAGAAGGAGGCTTGTTCATGAAACTTCTTTTTCCCTACTAGGCAGCGTGTTAGCAGACAGTATTGAGAACTCCATCAACGAGGACTCTCTGGGATCTCTGATCAGGATGCCTGGTGGCTGTGTGGAGCAGAACCTAGCCTCCATTACTCTGCCCCTCATTGCCACCCTCTACTTAGACCGAACTAACAACTGGGAGAGCGTAGGCGTGCAGCGCAGGGCAGAGGCTCTCCAGTACATCAAGAGAGGTGAGACGAAAGCAAAAAGCAAAGAACAAAAAAGAAGGAGAGGGGGATTTACTGTTTTTATTATTTTCTATGGCTTAATTCTACAATAAAAGCTGAGGTTTGCAAAAAAAATCTAAAACCAGTTTGCAAAAAACTTTCTGACTAAGCACAAAAGGCTGGAATATGAACACCTAGTTATTGTCTATGTCTTTGTGGTTAAAACAGGAAATTCTTTTGTGTTTTCAGGCTATGACAATCAGCTGGCATACAGAAGGCGTGACGGCTCTTACCCGCCCTACAGGAGGGAAGGAGCGAGTACCTGGTACTGACGAATCCTTACATTCTTAGAGCTTTCAAGTATTTCAGTTTTAATGACAACACTAAAATATTATTTTTATTAGTGATTTTCCTACTTATATGTGTCACATAACAAAAACAATACATGTTTATTTCAGTTTTACTGTGCTAAACTGTACAGAAGTGAGTCAGTGAGGAAAATCAGTTTGAGATTCATAAATAGATCAATTTATTCTGTTAGATAAATCATATGACATAGATTGTGATTGACAGGATCACAGCATATGTGGTAAAGGTGTTCTCCATGGCTCACTCCATCATGGGCATTGAGAAGCAACAAGTGTGCGACCCTCTGGTCTACCTGGTGACGAACAAACTCAGAGAAAATAAAGGAATGTATGTAGAGGACAACCCAGTTTACAGCACTACCATGACGGTGAGACACACATGCACATATACAGCCACACACTCACACTGTGAGGTTGGTAATCTATGTGGTTTCCACTCAAAGACAGAAAAGTTTTCATTTCCTGGTCCTTGTATTGTTTCTCTTGTAAATTATCAAAACTAATTATTATAACTACACGTCTTCACGAGCATAACCTCTCAGCCTGAACACACGACTGAAAATCAGATGTGAAAAAGGACATATTTATTCAGTGCAGCTACAGAATGTAGAATTTATGGAGTGCGACAGAATAAATAAAAACTTTAATTGCAATAAATGTGTAATAACAAAATAAGCAGTTTCATTATGATAGCTATTGCAGCTAAGTTTATCAAATTTAAACCATTCAGACAAACTGTAACTTGGAAAATAAACATCAGTCTATTGATCCGTCCATCCGTCCGTGTGTCTTGTGGGCAGTCGTCTAAGCAGAGAAGCCCAGACGTTCTTTCTTTCAGTCATGACCCAGAGCTCATGACCAGATGGCACAACAGGTTAGATATCCATCCTCCCACAGTGCTCCCTACATGATCCCCTAAGAGACACGGTTGATGCCTTCTCCAGGCATCTCCAAGAAGATGTAGACTGGTTGGGCAGAATCCCTTATCCTTTACAGATTAAAGAGCTGTTCTTGTGATCCATAACCCAGGCAAAAACTATATTGTTCCCTCTGAATCTGAGATTCAACCACAGCGTGGACTCTCCTATGGAGGACTGGGAGTCAATCCACCAACCTTCTGATTGGTAGATGTTGTACCATCGCTTACAGTGTTAATTGTTGTCTGAATCTGTACTGTCGGTAGGATATATGGGCTCAGATTGTGGTCATAAATATTTTGTACTTGTAAATCAGGATTTGTATGTGTAAAAAGAATTTGTGTGTGCGTAAAAAAGATTTGTGTGTGAACTTAGCCAAAAAATACGTGTGAAACTCTGCACTCAAGTTTCAAGTTACAAGTACGAATTTTGACCCTATTTTTCTTCCTTTCATCTGATTGGCCAATATCATGTCAATCACAAATTTAACAATCCAATCAGAAAACAGATGGGTTTGGCTATTGGAGGGGTGCTTTATAGAGCTGCTTTATGCTGTATGGTCCCTTCACATTGTACAAAATATTCATGACCACAATTTGAGCCCATAAGGATAGATGGATAAAATACATGCAGGCACATATATGAAGTAAAAACTACACCTTTCAAAATGATTGCTTTATTATTCAATCACAACTTCCAAGACTAACAAAATCAAATCAATAAACTGAAAAGAAAGAGATTATTATGAAAGTAGAATGTAAATACAACAAAAAGGCCAAGTCTTTATAATCCTTTTGTCTGCTGATGATCAACAGAAAAAGCACGCTGTCATGTAGGCATGCCACTATTTTCTGATGACATATTTTCTTTCTTTAACTTTAAGCATTTGTACATTTTTAAATACTAACAAACAACTTTATTTAACTCATTTAAAATAGTTTCCATTATTTTAGACACTTTATTCAGTGATTAAAATTCTAAATAATCAAATACTTGAATTATTCCAATGGTTTTAATACAAAATTACAAGGCATGGGAGAAAGAGATGATGAAGGTCTCAAATACTGAATAACCCCTTAAAAATTTTCTAGTTCAGAAGGTAGAGCAGGTCCCGTACTAACTGAATGGTTGTTGGTGGACTGTTCCAGTCTGCATGCAATTTGCACAGTATCCTTTGGAAAGAAACTGAGTTCCTCTGATGCGTTCATCGGATCATCACTGTTAGATTGTATCATCGACAAATATTAGATAGAAGTTCTTTGGGTAATGTTGTCTAAGCTCCTTGAGTGCTCAGTAGGAAAGAAAAGTGCTAAAAAGGAACCGGGAAATTTACTTTAGGTGCTTTCTGCCCAAAATCTTTGATAACTGCGATAAAGCCCTTCTCCCTCTCATCGCCTCTAGGGCGGTCTCCGTGGCGATGACCCAGAGATAACACTTACCGCCTTTGTCCACATTGCACTAGCTGAGGCCAAGCAGGCAGGGATCACCTGCGTCATTCCTGGTTTGGAGATGGAGGTAAGTTACAAGCAGCAATCTCTCTTTAACATTTGTTGTAATTGTAATTAAACTAATCCATCATCTACCCACTCATGTGGTATAGAATGCCATGGGTAAGACGACACAGTACTTGACCAATGCACTGACTAGAAATGGGAGGAGACCGTACACCGTGGCCATCACCTCTTATGCTCTGGCTCTTGCGGGGGCACCTCACAATGTTCATCAATCGTTACTCGAAGCTGCAGCCCGAGGTATCCTCAATCAGAATGATTATAGTTCTGTTTTTTAATTAGATTTGTTTTGTTTTCTTGTTTTCATTTGAGTTACCAGAGTAAATGTACCTTAAGCAACTAAAACTTGCTTAAAGTCCTGGTTTATCATCATGCAAAGCATCAGTAAAACAAAAAGCCTGGTTCTGCTGGAGGTTTCTGCCTGTTAAAAGGGAGTTTTCCTTCCCACTGTCGCCAAATCACTCCTACGGGGTCATCTGGCTGTTTTCTTTGTATTATTATAATGTATTCACCTGAAAATAAAACACACCTGAAAGGAACTGTTGTGGTTTAGTGCTACATAAATAAAATACAATATAATTGAATTTAACTAATTTCTGTCTACTAGCAGGATTCTGTTTACTTGCTATATCATTGATATTGTCATATAACACTATTTTTTAATCACGTAAAAGTTTGTACTGATGTTATGGCAGACAGTATGGTATGACATAGCCCTAATCACTGCACTTTTGCTGTACAGACTAAAGCTGTGTGCTCTTAAAGCCGGCATTCAAATAGTATCAAAAAGCCACTGAGGATAAGTGTAAAACATCCCTCTAATTCTGTTGCTGCTGCAGGTGGCAGCCACTGGCCTGACAGAGAAAACCACTTCTTCACCTTGGAGGCGACCGGCTATGCCCTGCTGGCTCTTATTAAGTTGGGTCACATGGAGGAAGCAGCAGCAGCCTTTAAATGGCTGAACAGCCAGCGAAGAAGAGGAGGCGGCTTTGGCTCTACTCAGGTCAGTTAAAGGATATTTAGATTTATTTCACTTGTTGATATTATATTTCATGCCAGATTTCATTGTCAGAAGGCTGTCAGTTAGGTTTTTTCGTTCTCTACTCTTTCAGTCCACCATGGTGGTGCTTCAGGCACTGTCAGAGTATATGATCAAGAGACCTCCTCCTGATGACCTCAGTCTGGATGTAGACATCAGGATCACTGGACGCAGAGACATCCGCTACCATTTTAACCCAAGGACAGCCTATGGCGCTCGCTCATCCAAGGTGAGAGACATTAAAAGAGATATAAACAGAATCCAGGCTTGTAGCGGAGTTTCATAACTTTGAACTGTGATGATTTGGGATTTAAGAACATCACTGAGTGTAATAACATCATTATCCAATATTTTTCTTCTTCTGTGGTGCTTTTGTTGCACAGTTGCCTGCTAACCTTGATTTAGAAGTCAGAGCTCAAGGAAACGGACAGGGAATACTTGAGGTATAAATGCACTGAATGATTATTAATAAAACTCATTAGAGATAATTAAATTAAATAGTAGGACAGTACCTATATTTGGCTGTATAATCGTTTTTGACTGATTGATTTCTCTTCCTGAAATTTGACCCAAGGTTGTGACCCATTATAACCAGCTGCATGAGGTGGATGAGAAAATGCCCTGCCAGCACTTTGAGCTCAGTGTTGCTGTTGAAGAGTCCCAGGGTAACTCCATTTATATGTCTCAAATACAGCAGATAAAATAAGTGTTGAATGTGTCACCAATTTAACTAAATGTATCTCTAAAGGTGCAATTGACATCTACACATACAAAGAAATCAAACGATGTTACGCGCTATAATGAGAAATGACACAGGGGAAAAATACTGAACAAAAAGTGGAGGTACTAAAAGGCACCAGCTGAAATCTGCTAGTAATTAGGAACTAATCATGCCACTTATTGCAAATTAATATCAGCTGGTTCAGTCCTGGCTGATGGTCTATAAAAAGGTGTCTCGTTACCAAGGTGTCACACAAGAAACATCTCATGATGGGTTAAAACAATATGAGGCTGTCACAACTGAACTGGACATGTGTGTGCTTAATAAACTGGCAAATTACAGCAGGATTTTCCTATCCTCGGTCAGAAGGCACCGGTGACTTATATGATGAAAGAGAGGGTCCACAGCAATGAGAATTAGGGTTCCTTTAATCCAAAACATCTCCAGAAGTGAATTCGTGTGAGTATATGTATGTGTGTGTGTGGTTCTGTAAAATAACAGAAATTACAATTAGCAAACAATTAAAGTCAACCAAACTGGTCTAAATAATACAGAAAGGGTTGAACAGAAATAACTAAACACCACCCCCTGGTGGACACAAATGGGCTGCTGCACAGGGATAGACTCCATCTTTACTTTGGGCAGCTCAGTTCACAAGGGTAGCACCATTTTGGTCAAATCAGCGTGAATATACAGTGTCTCGTGGCTACACAAACCGCTGGAAAACTCTATAAAGGCATCACACAATGTACATAGGCAAGTGTATGATAAGTTACAACCATAGAAAAAACAAATACAAGGCACTTACTTATCATTCACGCACACGCACGACACATGTTCAATACAACAGCCCAGCTCCACCAGCGCTATCATGGTGAACCAGCGCAAACACAAACAAAGGATGGGAGGAATGTACCATCTTAGCAGTGGTTAGAGGGGGTCCGTGGAACAGTCTATATGCACAAATCACAGGGGTTTTATACAGCCGCCCCCTAATGTGTATAGCGCATTAGTAAACATTAAAAAACCCATGTGAATATAACTAAGGACATTCAGCTGACAGTTCAGGTAAAGTGATAAGTTTTGACACAGGCCGTTGATATTTATGTTCCCCAATGGCGACTTCAGCTACTCGCACCTGTCCATCCGGGCTGGGAAATACCTGTGTTACCTGTCCTACGGGCCAGGAAGCCCGTGGGAGCTGATAGTCCACCACCATGACAGTCTGTCCCACTTTCAAAGGTGGAGTAGTCTGGTTCCACTTCTGGCGAGGCTGCAGTCCAGGCAGGTAACACTGAATGAACTGAGTCCAGAACCGGTCCGCTATGACTTGGCTGTGACGCCATTTTCGCCTTCCAAGTTCTTCTCTGGTGCCATAAACTTCCTGGGGAAGGGAAGCATCGCGCCGCCCCATGAGCAACATATTTGGCGTGATCGGGTCAACATCTGCAATATCCGAGGAAACGTATCCCAGTGGCTTGGAATTAAGTATGCCCTCTACTTCAATAAGAACAGTAAGCAACAAATCCTCTGGCACCGCTTGACTTTTGAGAGCAACTTGAAGTGCAGATTTGACTGAACGGATCTCCCGTTCCCAGGCTCCCCCAAAATGTGGGGCATGCGGAGGGTTGAAGTGGAAAGTGATGCTCTGTTCACTGAGCTTCTCCTGCAGTCGTGGCTCCATCACTTTGAATGCCTCCTGCAGCTCTCTGTCTCCTCCTCTGAAATTAGTGCCCTGATCACTCAGTATTTCAAAGGGTTTTCCTCTTCGAGCAATAAATCTGCGCAGAGCCATGAGAAAGGAGTCAGTGTCCATACCAGTGAGAAGGTCGAGGTGAATGCAGCGGGTCGTAAGGCATTTAAATATAATGCCCCACCGTTTCTCTTGTCTCCTGCCTATCTTTATAGTGAAAGGGCCAAAACAGTCAATTCCTGTGGACCAGAATGGCGGCTGATTTAATCGCAAGCGGGTAGCAGGGAGATAAGACATCTTCGGTGAAACAGGCTTGGCTCTCCACTTCTTACACTCCAAACAGCGATACTGATGCTTCCTTATGGCCTGTCTGCCTCTTAAAATCCAATACCTGCGTCTCAATTCGGCAAAGACACGTTCTGGGCCAGGATGCAGGAGACGTGTATCATAGTCTTTGATGATGAGCTGAGTAGTAGGATGGTCTGGTGGCAACACAATAGGATGCAGAGTGTCAACATCCATCTGCTCTGCTCGCCGGAGACGTCCACCTACTCGTATGAGGCCAAGCTGACTGTCATATTCGGGAGAAAGGTTGCTCAGTCTGCTGTCTTTGTACACCTCTTTCCCAGATTT